GGGGCAGAGGAGGAATAGAAAGAATCAGGCAAATAAGAACTCTTGGATTTAGAAGGTCATGGGGCGGGGTGGGGGGAGAGACAGAGAGATGTATTTCTCAACTTTTTTGTTACACCCCCAAACTGCCCCTCCCCTCCTTATCTTTTCTCCAACGAAGAGCAAGCAGCCATGGAACACTTCAATGATACAGCTCCAATACTTTCAAATGAAGCCGTTTCTGGAGAAACGTACTTCATTTCCCAAGACTCTCTCGAGCTGGGGGGAGGAAGGAGATTTGCATCCTTAAAAAGGACAGTTGGAAGGAGAGAATCACAGTGCGCCTCTACATCTGAGCGGCATCTTCATTTCCCCCTCTTTAATTTATTTCTTTTTTCTCGGGATGTTATTTTTGGTCTTCTCTGACCCCCCTCCCCCTGCCATCTTCGCCATACGACTGTCGATGAAAAACCAAAGGCTCCCTGTCTCTCGACAACATTCCCCCCTCCCAGCGCTCTGAAACAGAAGTCACTCTCTCTCACACATACATTCCTTTTCAGATTGTTAGCAGCTAAGCCTCAGATTATAACCTCAACAACAAACCTAATTAAAAGCACCAAAGCATGCATATATATATATATATTCTTCAATTGATTTTTTTTGCACGTAAGGAAAGAGAGAAGAGCTATTGCCCACCCCACACTCAACCCCCCCCCCATTCAGTGACCAACATGCTGCGCACTCTTAGCTACAAATAAGTCCTTTGATCATCCCCCCCCCCGAGCCTATGAAAATATAAAAAATTACTGCACACTTGTAAGTACAAATAAAATAGCCACAGTTGAGCGGGAGGGGTTGTCAGCCCAGATTTCTCTTCTGCAAAACATCATCACACGAAAGAGCAGGGGGAAAGGGGCAGGAAAATCTAAACATCACAGCTGCCGAGATGAAACCGTACTGAAAAGGAGGAGACGTAACTGAGGTTTAAGTTAAGAGATGAAATGGGTGAACCTCATGAGCCAGCGATAATAATAATAATATAATAATAATAATTTATTATTTGTACCCCGCCCATCTGGCTGGGTTTCCCCAGCTACTCTGGGCGGCTTCCAACAAAGATTAAGAATACATTAAAATGTCACACATTAAAAACTTCCCTGAACAGGGGATAAGAAACCTGCATCCTTCCATAGACATTGATGGACTCCAGTTCCCATTTGCTTGGCCTGCATGGCCAATAGTCAGGAATGATGAGAGTTGTAGTACATCAGGAAGGCCACAGATCATCACCACTGTCAGGAACCATGTTGGAATCTAGTGTTTTGTGGGTAGATCTATTTGGGTGTGGCTTGCCTACCAAAGAGCCCATTTTTGCTTCCCAGCATCATCAGATTGAAGGCTCCCAAGTGGCATGACTGGTAAAAGCCTTTTCTGAGGACCCCCCCCCCAAAAAAAGTGGTGGACTTTGGCTCTCAAATTTCAGTGGCGCCTGTGCTGTGCTAAAATTGGCGCCCCCGCCTCTCGCACTCTGTTCTACAGCATTGGTTTTTTTGTGCCCTTTGCAACACGGTGCCCAGTGGGTCTACACTGGTCATGCTACCCCAAAACCACCTCTGCAAACTGGGCTTGGTGGACCAATCCCAAAATGGTCTCAGGGACAGGTACAATCCTTTGGGTCCCCATGTTAAGTCTGCACAGGACACTCCTATTCTTCTTCAGGTGCTCTGGTGCCCAGAGGTCAAATTATAGAATTATAGCATTGGAAGGAACCTCCAAGGATCATCAAGTCCAAACCCCCTCAAATGCAAGAATCACAGAGAAAGAATCCCTGGCAGATGGCCATTCAACCTCTGGCTGACAACCTCCAATGAAGGAGAGCCCATCATCAGCTTTTGAGATAGCCCGTTCCACTGTTTTGCCATCTGAAATTTTCCCTGATGTTTAGTCAGAATCTCCTTTCTTGCAACTTAATTCCATTGGTTTGGGTCCAAGCCTCTTGATATCTGAAGATAGCTCTCCTTTCGCCTAGGCTGCTTTGAAAAACAGGTTGAGTTCCGCTTTTAATTGTGGCTGAAAGCTGTTGGTTGACCAACCCTCCAGGTATGTGTCCAATTCTTGTCTTTAAAACACCCAATTGGTACCAACCAATTCATGGAAGTACTTTCTGTAATTTATTTTTGATGTCTGCAAGTGCTTCATTTTGCCTTTTCTGAACCTAGAACCCTTCAAATGCACTGAGTCATCCTGAATTCTCATATTGTGGGAGCAGGATAAATGACTATTTCTCCCTTTTCAGTCACTCCATGCCACTCTAATCATAAGAACACAGGAAGCTGTCTTTTCCGGAGTCTTACTCTTTGGCCCATGGAGCTGGCAGCTATGACTATCCTGGGTTTCAGGCAGAGTACGTGTTCAGTGTAACCTGGAGAAACCCTTGGGGACTGTACCTAGGTCCTTCTGCATGCAGAACAGGTGATCTACAGCCATTGTGCCCCCTCTGCCCCCTAAATTTGAAATCCCCCAAACACTTTAGCCTCTCCTCCCAGAGAAAGGGACGGCATTCGGATCTCTCACCTGCCCTTTTCTGTGCATTTGCTATCTCTGTTTCGGAGGTGGAGGTGCCAGATCTCAACACAGTACTCCCAAAATTCAGGCGCTGTAAGGATAAAATGGGGAGAAGGACTATGCATGCCACCTCCTTGAAGGAAAAGGAAGGATATAACTTCAAGGAAGGAAGGAGGACAATATTCATTTTATTAAAAAAAAATTATTAACATATAAAACACATACATATACATTTACACAATACACATACACAACACACTACCTAATTTTTCATAACAAAACATACCTACATTACTCTATATAATACCTACCTATACTATACTTATCAACATACCTACACACCTACCCCATACGGACACCCACCAAGTGACTTGACTTCCAGCCGTTCTTGTTATGCCATTTTATTTTCCCAACTAGCTTAAACGCATTTCATTATTTCTTTAATCTCTTCTTTTATCTTAACTTTACTCTCCTTTAATCATTTTCTGGATTCACTCAGTATCTGTCAGAAATTCTACTTTTTCCACATTTTGTGTATTCCTTAAAGATAGCCCACTCCGGAAGGTGGACAATATTCAATGAAGCCAGAGTTTACTGCTTACTGCTAATAATTTCTTGCATCGAATATGCCTTTTTTGCTGCTGCTTCACAATTGTGGCTTGCGCAAACTTCCATTTGCCCCACTGCTTTCCCCCAGGGAAACTTGTAGTTCACTGCTGAATCGGACCCAATGGCAATTGCGTTTTTCACAATTGTGTTTGCTGTTTGTTCCAATTCAGCAGTAAAGAGCATGTTTTCCAGGGGAGGGGGGGACGACTGTGGGGCAAATGCCTACAAAGCACAGGGCAAGTTGGAAAGCTGCTCAGACACATGCTTTCTAGGCACGGGAGAAGCGGAAGTGTGGACAAACCCTCGGTCAATGTTTCCAGTGTGCTGTGCACACCAAGCTCAATATCTCATTCTTGGAGAGTTGCCAGCAATTCAGACTCCATCAGTGCAATCCCAGAACTGTAAAATTGGAAGGGATCCTGAGGGTCATCTAGTCCAACCCCTTGCAATGCAGGAATCTCAACTAAAGCATCCATGATAGGTAGGATGTGTCTGCACATAAAAGAAACCCTTTCCATCTTCTTAAGGTAAAGGTAAAGGTACCCCTGCCCGTACGGGCCAGTCGTGTCCGACTCTAGGGTTGTGCGCTCATCTCACTTAAGAGGCCGGGAGCCAGTGCTGTCCGGAGACACTTCCGGGTCACGTGGCCAGCATGACGAAGCTGCTCTGGCGAGCCAGCACCAGCGCAGCACATGGAAATGCTGTTTACCTTCCCGCTATAAAGCGGTACCAATTTATCTACTTGCACTTTAGGGGTGCTTTCGAACTGCTAGGTGGGCAGGAGCTGGGACCGAAAGACGGGAGCTCACCCCGCCGTGGGGATTCGAACCGCCGACCATACGATCGGCAAGTCCTAGGCACTGAGGTTTTACCCACAGTGCCACCTGCATCCAGCTTCTTAGCTCACTGTATTTCTGGTGGCTGAGAAGTGCTGAAGTCTCTCCTCATTTTTCGCTTTTGCAAATTGTCACAAAAACATCTTCATCTCTGATTTGAAAAGGCAAATTGTCAAAAAAGAAAACCGGGGAGGGAACCAACCCAACCAATACCGGGTTGTTTGGCTGAGATTGAGAGAAAGGGAGGATTGTTTAAAGAAGTGATTTGGCCAGAAGCATTGCTATAAAAAGGTATTTCTACCTGCAGTGTCAGAAACGATGGCATTTATGGGCTAAATTTATTTTCAGTTCTCCCATGCTAGATTTGATAGGTGAATGGATTGATGCTGTAAATTTCAGCCTGAGCCTAGTCTATAGTGACTGATGTCTGCTTAATGGCATATATCAAATAAGTTTCTGATCAATGGTAGCCAATTTCAGAGAGATACTCACATCCTAAAACTTGACAGCCACAAGCAGAGAAATTACAGGCACCGGAGATTTCAAAGGCAACTTTCAAAACAAGTCTGGATTGACCATTTAGGGTAGAGATTTTTTAGACTCTTTACAAAGCTGATGCGGTTTGCACTGACATCCTTCTTGGCTCTGCTAATTCCCCACAAGCAGAAAAGAGGGAATTCAGATGCACACGCATGGATAAAGTCTACAACAGGCGCACTTGCGCATAGCAGCTTTGGGGCATTAAGCACCTTATGCAAATGGTATCAGGTTGAAAGGGAAAGCAAATATGAGGGAATGGGAGAGACGATTCCACCAGCTGCCTCGATTAGGCAGGAGGAAAAATACGTTTCATTTAGGGAACTCCATATGGGAAGAAGTTCATGCTGCAGCCTTTCAAAGGAAACTGAAATGCACACCTGTATGGCTCCAACTGTGGCTTTGTCAGCTACAAGCAATAGTCCAGCAAACTTCTTACATGTCCTGTGTGCCATATTGCAGTGAGTGCCGGAAATTGGGTAGCTTATTTGGTTAGGGCACGGTGCTGATAACGACAAGGTTGCAGGTTTGATCCCCGCATGGGACAGCCGCATATTCCACCGATAATTTTTACAAAGATTGTTTATATACTTCCCCACTGAACGTTTATGAATACCATGTTCATTCAGATCTAACTGTAGGCTTTTGTTGCATGTGTTCATTATTTGGCTTTATGTAGTTCCATCTGCCTTGAGGTAGAGACCTTGGCCAGTTTGCATCTGCGTTGGAATTGTATTTAAGGTCTCAAATGTTTTTAAGATTATTAAAATCTAAATCTGGCGATCACACAGGGTCCCTAGACATTTCACCGTCTATTGATCCCTGTGCCACCACTTTATTTCTCGCTGCCACCACACAGGCCCCACCTGGTACAATACTGAGTCCAGTCAGGGTTAAATCGGAACATAAACTTCTGTTTATTTATTGCAGTTTAACAAGCATGTGGTTTCATAAACGGTATCAGTCAATTACAATCATGGGGTGCCTATCCAGACCTATAACTTCCGCTACCTGCTCTCACTCACTAAACCACCTCTCAGATATTTACTTGTCTTCCTAGCCCCTAACTGTTCCTGACTCAGCTTATTTCGCTACACTAACTCAACCTACCCACAGACTCTATCCCAATTCACTCCCACTCCAACCAACCACCCAACTCCCATCAAACTCCCCCTCTTTGCCCCTCCCAGAGCTGGTTTTATAGTCCCTCTGACTCCACCCCCCTGGGTTCTGATAGGATAACCTGTTTAACTATTTCACCTCCAGCACTCTCATATGGTAACATCACAGGCGGGGCTGGCACGCGTCCTGGGGGTGGGGTGCACCACTTGCGGGGGCAGGGTGCCCAGCGCAGGCAGGGGGCAGCCGCGATGGCACCCTGCCGGGATCGTGCTTTGCCCCACTCCTCTTCCTCCGCCAGTGTGTTTGGGATCTCTCCAAGAAAGAAGCCCTCAGCAGGGGGAAATTGTCAAGGAGAAATGAGGGAGGCGATGTGAATATACTAATTAATTAGGCCTGTTTGAGAGGGTGGGATTTGTCCATCTCCATCCAATACAAGCATTACCTTTGACTTCCAGGGAAAAAAAGGTAAAAGCTTGACAAAACTCTAATCGTAATCATGGGTCATTTGCTAGAATAAATATAAAAGGCTAGAGAATCGATTGGGTTGTTTTCAAGCCAATGGTTCAATAGATTTGGCAAACCTTTTAGATTTGGCAAGCCAGCCAAGTCAACACAAACACATATGGCTCATTCTTTTACTCTTACAATATGCAATGCTTGAAAGCGTTCCACTTTCCAGCGTGCTATTTGGAATTTTGTAGGAATGAATCCAGCGATTCACTTATGTTGACTTGAAGCATGAGGTTAGTAAAGGTGGCCCCGCCATCTTGGATCTGGAATGAGAATCAACTCGTCCAGATGGCTCTTTCCAGCCTTCTGGTGTGATGTTCCTGCAGCTCAGAGGGTTGTGTGTTGTAGCCGTGTGGGATCCCACCCTCTTCCTCTATGCGGCTTAATTACCTCCCAACCACAGGCCACTCCACACATGATCTGCACAACAAGTGTGGCTCTATGTGCCGTATTAATACATATGTATGTGGACTTTTACATATCAGTTCTATGGGGCTCAGAACTTCAAAAGGAACCTGGATAATCACAGCAGAAGATATAGAAGATCAAACAGAATATCTTTTAAACAGATCTGAGAAGATTAATTTTCATCCAATGTTACTGCAGGAGGTTTTTTCCTACCCTTTCTCCCCCTCCTCACATTTTTCCCCCACTTCCTTTAGTTGCTTTGATCTGTTTTGATGTCTTTTTCAGCTCATCTTTCAAATAAAAAATCTGTTTAAAATCTTTCTCTCCCCCCCTCAACTTTCTTTTCCCCCCAAAGTCATGCACACTTCTAAGGGTGAGGAACAAGCTTTAGTCTGCGCTTCACACACTTCCACGTTTGGCAGGGACAACTCTCGGTTATACAGAAGGCGCGGGGAATCAAAAAAGCAAAAGGGTGGGGTGATTTCAGGACAAACATCTCTCCACACAACAGATAATTCATTTATGGGGTTTGCTAAAACAAGAGGCCTGTTTGTGCAGCAGGGTTCTGTCCTGGGCCCATTGCTGTTCAACATCTATATAAACATCTTGAATGAATGTATTGAAGGGGTGCTCATCAAATTTGCTGGTGACCCCAAACTGGGAGGGGAAGCCAGTTCCACTGAAGACAGAAGTGGGATGCAATATGACTTTAACAGACTGCAGAACTGGGCCCAAACTAACCAAATGAATTTAAATAGGGACAAATGTAGGATCCTAAATTTAGAACTAGCTACACAAAGATGGGGGACACCTGGCTCACCAGTAGTACATGTGAAAAGGATATATGGGTCTTAATAGACCACAAGCTTCACATGAGTCAGCAATTTGATGGAGCAGCAAACAAAACAAACAAGACCAAAAAAACCACAACAACCCCACCTTCATGCTATTCTAGGCTGCACCAACAGAAGTCTAGTGTCCTGATCAAGGGAAGTATTTGTCCCACTCTATTCTGTCTTGGTCAGATCACTACTGCGACCCAGCTACATTAGTCAAAAAAACAGTGTTTTAAATGCATTATAAACATGCAACACCAGATGGAGGTGTAGAGCACAAAACCTTTCTATGTGATTTTACATAGGGTTTTTTTCCCCCCTTTTGTTAAAACGTGGCTTTTTTTCCTATGCGCAGATCCACACTTGGAATACCATGTCCAGTTCTGAGCACCACAATTTAAGAAGGATTTTGAGAAGCTGGAATATGTGCAGACATTTAGTTGGGGATAAGTAATAAATAGAAATGGGGGGCGGGTGTGGGATGGCATGTACGGGAACCTAAGAAATTTCTAGGAAAGGATGTATGCATACGGAGACCTCATCTTTTCAGGGGTCTCTCATCCACACTTCAAGATCACTTATGCCTGTGCATTGAACCCTTGATGTCATCATTAGCAGATGCATATTTTTACAGGAGTGAGCCCCACAAACTCCATCAAACTAATTCCCTGGCAAAGGGTACAGGATTGTAGCCAAAAGTTCAACTTAATGAAACTAAGCTGGTCCAGAGAGTGCTTCTCTTGCAAATAAACATAAAAAGAGGGGGACACAAAGAGAAGTGGGGTGGGGGGAGAGAACCATACAGCAGTGTTTCATCATCATCATCATCATCATCATCATTTTATTTTATTTGTATGCTGCCTTTCCATAGTTGAAACTATTCTCAAGGCGGCTTACAACATGACAAGATTTATATAATTACAAACATAGCAGAAGTCATAAATAAAACACATCAAAAAGTACACAACCAAATGGAAACCGTTTCCATGTAAATCATAAGATCTAAAACTACAGAGATACAATAATAATAATAATAATAATAATAATAACAGTAATAGTAATAGTAATAGTAATAGTAATAATATATTTATACCCCGCCCATCTGGCTGGGTTTCCCCAGCCACTCTCAGCAGCTTCCAACGAAACACTAAAATACAATAACCTATTAAACATTAAAAGCTTCCCTAAACAGGGCTGCCTTCAGATGTCTTCTAAAAGTCTGGTAGTTATTTTTCTCTTTGGCATCTGGTGGGAGGGTGTTCCACAGGGCGGGTGCCACTACCAAGAAGGCCCTCTGCCTGGTTCCCTGTAACTTGGCTTCTCACAGCAAGGGAACTGCCAGAAGGCCCTCGGCGCTGGACCTCAGTGTCCGGGCAGAACGATGGAGGTGGAGACACTGCTTTAGGTAACAAGCTCTCTCAACCTCCCATAAATAATACCCCAGCCCAAGAACCTGTTCAACAGCCTCAGATTTTGTAGCTGGAGTCAGTCAGCACTCCACTCTTCCTGGCCATACAGTCATACTTCGGGTTGTGAACGTGTTCCATGCGGGAGGCACGTCGGCAACCCGCAGTGCCACATCTGCGCACGTGTGTGACGCAATTCTGCACATGCGCAAAGCACGATTTAGTACTCCTGCGCATGCGCGAGCGCCAAAACCCAGAAGTAACCTGGTCCGGTACTTCCAGGTTCGGCGTGGTCCGTAACCCGAAAACACGCAACTGGCAGCGTTCGCAACCCGAGGTATGACTGTATGGGGAAAGGCCAGCAAGGCAGGGTGCAGGTCTTCCAGGGCTCACAGCCAAGTTGGTCTCATTTAAAACAACACAGATAACAATTTAAAACAATTTAAAAGAGGAGCCCTCTCTGCTGAGCAGCAGCTGCAGTCCTTAAATAGCCTGTATGGCCCCACCCCAAGCCAGGTGGAGAGAGGCAAGGGCAGGGTCCTTCAGACCTTCAGCAGCAGGCAGTTTCCATTTGTTCCTAGAGCTAGGAGAAATTTGGATTGCACTTCCTGCTACCCATTCACATTGGTGGTACAAAGCTAGCATTCGATTTTTAGGATCTGGCTAATATAGCGAGTTAGAGTCTCCAGCAAAAAAAAACTAGATCATTAGTTCAAATCAGTATGTGAAATTCAGGCACACCACCCAGCCCCCAGTCCTTGGCACCTAGGTTGCCAGGGCACAATGCAGCGGTAACGGCATCAGCCAGAACTGCGAGATTTCCCCCATTGCTTGCAAACTCTTAAAGTGTTTAAGCTCTAAATCCGTCACCCCTACACCCCTTACGTGACCCACCAAAACTACGCCAACCCTTAGTAGCTGTGCCAGGGTTTTAAACCCACTCAATCCGAGAGGCTGTGCGGGCTGCAGTTCTTTGCTCCCTGAGCAGTTGGAATGTTTCTGAGCATTCCACGCCAACCCATTAGCTCAGCCAATGAGTGTCGGAGGCGTCTCCGCCCCAAGCACAGCGCAGTAAGGGTTGGCCGCTGCGATGCTGGGCATTGGTGAAGGCACACCGTAAAAACCTCTTTGCAGTTTATAACAGCGTTCTTGCTCGTTTGATGCCAGGCAAAGCCTTAATGGGCGTAAGTGGCGTTCCGAGCACACGAAAATGTACACATTTGTTTTTTGGTTTTTAAGAAAGCTCTCTTTAAAAATTCTGGCCG